AACTTTGGTACCTGTGGGCTTGGTCTCAAGACTGCTGAGAGATACAAAAGTCCTCAAGTCCCTTTTCTAATGTGGTACTTGTTCACAGCCACCCCCTCCAACTAGACAACTGGAATCATCTTTCAATACAGGACTTAAGACAATGTAATAAATGCTGTGTAGCAATGTATACGGAATCCCTTAGGGAATGATGACAAGAACTTCACACTGTTTATCATAAATCAAATTTTATTTCTCCTTTAGAGTATTTCTTGTCCTCCCTCCCTTTCTCCTTCCTTTTTGATATTTCTAGAACAAGGTCAGGCTGAGCTGGCCTTGTACTCACTAATTGAACTCCCGAGTGATGGACTTGCTGGTGCCTACCACTGCAACTGACTTCTTAGGAGTAGCTCTGATGGGCAGAAGATGGAATGCACAGATACAGACCCTGCAGATAGGAAGGGCCATGCAGTGATGAATGAAAATCAACCTGAAAGAAATATAAGAGCTTCAAAGGGAGTCTACAGTTGTGTTCTAATCTGGCCAACACTGTCCATTGCCACAAATTAGACAGACTCTCTCTCCAAGAGTTATAAAGTGCCGGACCACCGAGGTAGCATCCAAACAAAACAGAATAAAAAACACAGATGACTGATGAGAACTGTTCAGTGCAAAGAAGAGCACCCTGACGTTCACACCCAGAAGAACCTATCCAAATACTGCGAAGTGCAGTAAAAGATTCCATTTTAGTACTGGGACCTTTTGGGACTTCAAACTTCACCCCAACCCCTAAGGAAAACCAGAGGCTGCGAGACCCCTCCTAGGGGAAGTATTAGTTAATGGAAAAACCCAAGTTACACAAAACTGCTAACTGCTACCTATACCCTCACCTGTGGTTACACAAAAGATGCTGACCACATAACTTTACCTGTCAGTTGGATAACGATGGACCAATCAGTTAACTTTCCAAACAGCCCCTGCGGTTAGGAAAGGGTCAGCAGATGTCCCGAGGACGTGACCAAGGGACCATTGCTATGGGTGAACAGACATCCCCCTCCAGCCCCAGACAACAACAGCTTATCAGAAACTAACAGCTGAGCTTTACCTAACCTTTAGCCAACTGTGATATAGAGTAAGTAATTTTGTACTTTGAAACTGCAATCCTATGACTGCTTTGTGGTTTTTGTTTTTATAAATCCCTTACAATAGTAGGTGGGGTTCTCCTTCCTCTAGCTGCTGTGTCAGACTGCGGGGCAGAGAACCCGTGCTAGCCTGCATACAATAAATGAAACCTTGCTTTTGCATTCGGAAGAGTATGGCTCCGTGGTGGTCTTCTTGAGGGGGTCTCAGGACTTAGGCACAACATCTGGGGGCTTGTCCAGTATACTCCAAGACCCATTATCAAGCCCTGCTACTTAACACAGCCAGAATAATGTTCCAAGTCCCAACAGCTCTCAACCCAGCTATGGTAATGCCAGACTCTGGCCTCTAAGCCCCGCTTCATGACTGTTCCGGAATCCTGGCCCAGGATGCAGAGGAGACCTGGTTTATGGATGGGAGCAGCTTTGTGTGGAATGGACTAAGGTATGCAGGGGCAGCGGTGACTACAATGGATGAAGTAATCTGGGCAGAACCAATGCCATGGGAACCTCCGCTCAAAGAGCTGAACTAATAGCACTGACCAAGGCTTTAGAATTGGGACAGGGAAAGACAATTAACGTTTACACAGACAATTGCTATGCCTTTGCCAAAGCCCACATTCACAGGGCCATATACAAAGAAAGGGGCCCCCTACTGCAGAGGGAAGGACTATCAAGAATAAGACCGAGATCTTGGGTCTCCTAAGAGCCCTAGGGGGGCCTCGAAAACTAGCTATTATACATTGCCCTGGCCACCAAAAAGGAAACAATCTGGCCGACAGAACAGCTACAGAAGTGGCAATGACTCCTGTCCTGGCACCAGTCCTGGTGGACCCCGGACCACCAGCTTTGCCAGATGAGCTGAAATACACTCAGGAGGATTTCATGGCATGGATAAAGACTCTTCCCATGACACACCACTCTAAGGGGTGGTGGAAGTCAGCGAACAATAAAGTAATACGACCCAAACATCTTGGCCTCCAAGTGCTGTGGAAGATACACTGAGCCTCCCACATGGGAATCTGCCGAATGCAGGACTTACTAAGATATTCAAACGTAAAGATACAAAATGGAAATCAAATGATAGGAGACCTGGTTAACAACTGCCAGGCCTGCCAGGTAACCAGCACAATCTCTAACCCTAAGAGCCCCGGGGGCTCGGGTTTGAGGAAAGAAACCAGGTGCGTACTGTGAAGCTGACTTTACAGAGATCAAGCCTGGTAATTTTGGACACAGGTACCTTCTAGTTTTTATAGACACCATCTCTGGATGGATGGAGGCCTTCCCAACAAAACATGAGACTGTGCACACTGTGGTTAAGAAAACATTAGAAGACTTACTACCCAGGTATGGATTTCCCACCATGCTGGGATCAAACAACGGGCCATCTTTTATACTGCAGGTAAGCCAGAACCTAGCCACCATCCTGGGGACTGACTGGAAATTACACTGTGCATACAGACCTCAGAGTTCAGGCCAGTAGAGAGGGTGAATAGAAATCTAAAAGAGACCTTGACTAAATCAGCCTTGGAGACTGGCGCAGACTGAGTAACTCTCCCTTCCTTTGCCTTATACAGGGTGAGAAATTCCCTTTACCAGATGGGGCTAACCCCCTTTGAGATTATGTTTGGCACCCCCCTCCCACTATCCCCAGTCTGCACTCTGAACTGCTAGCAGAGATGGACGACTGAGATGTGCTCGACTCCACTAAGAGATTACAATGGACCCATAAGCATATTTGGCCAAAGCTCTGGGCCTCATATGAATCTGCTAACACCCCCCCCCCCCACACCATACAGGTTTCAACCAGGAGATTGGGTCTTCATCCGGCGCCACCCTCAGGAGACCCTAAAGCCAGGATGGAAGGGCTCGTTCGCCACCCTGATGACATCCCGAGGGCCCTAAAGATGGATGGAACGGCAGCCTGGGTTCACTACTCACATGCCCGCCCAACAATCCATTCGCCCTCCAGAAGGACTACAGAGATGGATGGGAGGCCTCGCAACTCCCCACCAACACTTTAAAGTACAGCTCAGGGAAAGGCAGCGACCCTGCTGATGCCCATCTGCCCCCCCCATACTGGTGGGGGTTCGCAGCCGTTCCCTGCACCTCACTGCAATCCTGTGACTGCCTTGTAGTTTCTGTCTTTATAATCCCCTTACAACAGTAGGTGGGGTCCTCCTCCCTCCATCTGCTGCACCAGACTGCAAGGCAATAAACGAAACCTTGTTTTTGCATTTGGAAGCAAGTGGCTCCATGGTGATCTTTTCGGGGGTTTCAGGACTTAGGCACAACACCCTGATAGCATCATTGGGCCTGTTCCATCTTCATCTGAAAGCGGTTCTTTTCTCTGTAAACCACGAGGGGCTGTACCAGCAGCCCCAAGGCTAAATTCAGTCAGTCCTACCACCTTCGGTTTTCCATGTAACTTCTCTTTATCTTTAAAACTATCTTAGTTTTAAGATCACCTCTTAACTACTTTAAGAAAACCCCAAACCTCCTCTTCGATGGTCTCTTAGTCCACTCCCACATCATTACCTGGAACGCAGGAGCGGCTGTAGGAAGGAACAAAGGAAGATATGAATCCTGCCTACAAGAACTTGGGAGAATTTAGCTGCTTAGCCTGTTTCTTCACTGCTAGGAGTATTCGACACCATGAACAGTGCTCTACACTGGAAGAAGCAGGGTTCTGTATCTGAGATTGGGAAGGGAGAGCACTTAATGATGCAATAAGGACTCTAAAAAATCACCAAGGTAAATACGATGCAAAGGTTGGGAATTTGAGAAAACTACCAAAGCAATGATATCTGACGTATATAATTTTAAAATCTTGTGTAAATATGACAAAACATGAGATTTCAAAGAAATCATTCTCAGCGAGTTTTCCCAGTAATGCCACCTGGACGCTCGGGACTAAAATGCCTCCATTTTCTTACAGTATCCAACATTTTGGGAAACCATGTGTGTGTCAATAAATGATGTTAGTATTCATCCAGTCATTCTCCTATTAAATCATCTGCAGGATCCCCATTCCCTCAAACCGAAGTCCAAACAACGAACAGTGGTGTACAAACCGGAGCCCTTCACCTCTTCTACCGATTTAATTTACTCCCACATCCACGTTCTCGCAGCTTGCTCGGCCGAAGACTTCTGCTTTCCTCATGGGTGACGGTCTAAAACTGCCCCTATCCTTCCCATCCTCCTTCCCTCTGGCCGCCTCCTTTAGTACTCAATCTCGGGTAGCATTTCCTCTGGCTAACTTCAACTTCTCTCCGGGCCTCTATGGGTTCCCAGTATAAAGTCTACCAGCCTTGCCCCGCCCTGCCTGCATCTCCCACTAAACGGTAGAGCTCTGTAAATGGAAGGGCTGTTGCCTTTTCCTATGAGGACGCTCAAAAGCGTCTTAAATCAACTAAACTCATGCATTTATCTCTGAATTGGGAAAACCTAAGAGCAAGGACCTCTTTTTGCAAACTGAACTGCAATGGCTCCACCTCCTCGGATCCTGCCGTCCGCACAATACAGGGCAGGACAACAGAAACGACCACATCGTTACCACCCGCCTTGGGAGACTGAGCCCGAACGCCAGAGCAGACGCTGGGAGACCAGCTCTGCGCACGCGCAGAGCGCAGAAGGGGGGCGGTCACCAGCGCGACGCGGGGAGGCCCGGCCCGAGCAGCTCGGCCCTCTAGGGTGGCGCTGGCGTTTCCCTAACCCGCTCACAGGGATGCGCCTCCGGCAGGGGCGCGGCCGCCGTTCCGGAGCCCTCCGCCTCTTGGTTGCGCGCGCCTCCTCACCCTCGCTGCCCCGCAGTCCTCTGGAAAGGCCAGGGCGACACCGTTCACAGCGCCTGACCCGGACGGAGTCCCGACGCGCCGGAAGTCCCGCCCAGCGTCCCAGCGCAGCTCCCGGGGTCTCTGGGGCGCCTCCGGGGGTGAAGAGGCAAAGGTCCGCGAGCGAACAGTGTTGGGAGCCCAGGTTCGCAGGGGAACTGTCACTTCTGCAATTGCTCAGTGTAGCACTCCGTACCGCAGCACCATTGCACAAACACTGCTTCCTCCCTCCTTCGCTTCCCTTAGCTTAGGCTTCACACGTCTTCTATTTTGGCACTTAAAGAGCGTTTTCTTGTGTGCCCCAGTAACTTCAGGCCTCTACATCTTCCCATCATGGCATCCAAAACTGTGCCTTCAGCTTTTCTAGTCCGCTTTTCCTTCCATGAGAGCTCCCATGGGCCTTACCTGCTTTTAGGGGAGCAAGATCTTGGTCCATTTGTCTCAGCCTTCCTTACCACCCCTTTCTGCACACATTAGGAGCCACTACTTATGAAGCTGTTTGCAGAGCTTATCCAAGGGAAGGACTCATTCTTAATGGGGGCCCTACCATCCTACGGACAGAGGTCCTGGGCTAATCACAAAGGGGTTGGAGAGAAGCCAGGTGAGCTAACATTTGTCTCCGCATCTTGTGGCCGAATGTGACTAGCAGCCTTGTGTTTCTGTTGCCGTGCATTTCCCCTTTATGATGGACCGCATCCTTAAACCAAAATGAATCCATCTTGAGTTCTTTCTGTTAGGTATTTCGTCACAGTAGTGAGAAAAGTGATTAAGTCATGAATTAACTTTCAGGAGCAGTGTGATGGGACGGTTACACATATGGAACCTCTTGGGATTGCTGCTCTGATGCTGGCCCAGAACTCACATGATGGAGCACCATCGAGCACTTCCTCTACCCAGTGTTGCGGTCGCTAGTGTTATTGAGACGGACGAAGGAGACCCACCTCTGCTCGGGGAACGGGGTGGAAAAGTCTGTTAAGACCACTTTGTGTATTAAACCGCTCTTAACGTGAGCACTCCCTTTGTAGCGAGCCAAGACCCCAGGGAACAGGCAGCTGTGAGTAAAAAGGCTGAACCGGCCACCCAGACTTACCCATGCCAGCACCAGTCGTCTGGAACATTCCACAGATACTGTGGTGGTTTGAGTGATAATCCCTTTCCCCCATGTTTGCACGCTTAGTCTCCAGTGGATGGACTGTTTGGGAGGGAATAGGGTGTGTGTCTTTGTTGGAGGAAGATTGTCAATGGTGGGTGGGTTTTGAGGTTTCAAACACCTGCCAGGCCTAGTTTGTCTATCTCTGCCTGCAGCCTGGGCATCAGGATGTAAAGCTCTTCACAACTGTGCCAGCATTGTGGTTAGAACAAGTGGACCCTCTGGAAGTGTAAGCAAACCATTTTATAAAAGTTGCCTTGGTCATGGTGTCTCCTCGCAGCGACAGAACAGTGTCTAAAAGTCCTGAGATAACTCTGATGGCTATTATTGGTTGTCACCTTGACTACATCAAAACTCAAGCTAGGGACACCTGTGAGGAATTTTTTCTTTTCAGTTTTTCAAGACAGGGTTTCTGTGTAGCTTTGGCTGTCCTGGAACTCTTGATGTAGACCATGCATTTTTTTTTTCTTAGTTAAATCATTTGAAGTGGGAAGACCGACCTTTAATCCGTATCTTTTGAGGTGGGACGATCCACCTTTAATCTGGGCCACATCTTCTGCTGGCAGCCTATATGAAGACACTGAAGAAGGAAGTTCGTTCATTTTCCCTGCCTGCTCTTGCTGGCAAGTCCATTCTTTCACTGACATTAGAGCCTGCTTCTTTGGGAATCAGGCATGTACTGAAGACCAGCTGAGACAGCCAGCCTCGTGGGGTCAACAGCTACTGGATTCTTGGACTGCCCATTGGTAGATGGCCATTGTTGAACTAGCTGGCCCACAGTCTGAAAGTGACTAGGTTGTAAGCCACTCTAGAGAACCTTGAGGAATACACCACCCTGTCCTGCCTGAATCCCCTACCTTCTGAAGGTGCAACCCGAGGCAAGTCTGGAGGACACATTTATACCTGACATTAAACAAGCCTGGGGCAAAAGTTGTGACTGTGATTGACCCAAACACAAGCCTCAATGGCTGTAGCTGGTGGTAAGGGCAAAGCTGTGGTTCAGCCAAACATCCCTTCTTGGCTCTGGAAGCAGGCTAGGTTTACTGAGTCAACAGGAAGACACTTTCCTGTGCTATCTCTGCTGGTACTGCAACATCTGGTGTCATAAAGGGCTCCTCTTAATGGACTTCCTTCCTTCAGTTGTGTAGGGTGGGATGGTAATGCCAAGAAAGAAGCAGGAGAGTAATGGTGGCATTTATGTAGCTCAGCAGGCGGTGAGGTTGAGTTACAGAGGGGCAGCCAGCTGCAGCTAAACAGCCAGAGCAAGAAAAAAAAGGGAAGGGCAGCACAAAAGAGCAAAGGGCAGAATGCTAAGACAGATCAAAAACTAATAAAAGCCTGTAGGGGGCCGGAGATATAAACTGTAGGTTTGGCCACTCAGATAGTTCATGAGAGCAGCCAAGAAACTCCAAATGCACAGACCTATACAAGAGCTGCAACACCAGCTGCTGCCAAGGGCTGAGACCTAGGCCTGTCTGGTTGCTATGCTGCTACACACAGTTGGCAACTTCTGAATCTTGGCTTTGAAGGCTCACACCAGAGCTGTAACACCAAGTCTGCAGCCCTTCACTGTGGACTGCCCCTTCCGCTCTCTGCTAACACCTAGAGAACCAGTGACTGCCCAAGACCAGCTCCTATGGAGCCTCTGCTGTCAGGGCATCATAGTTCTGTTCCTTCGTAGTCTGGGTCTGCAGTTCATAACCAAAACCTAAAAACCACTACACTTGAGTAAAACTGTGTTGTGAAAATTTTAATATCTAGAGTAATATGAATACCCTTTAAAAAGGAGCAAGGCACAGACATTGGTCAGAGCAAGGACCATAATTACTAAAAACATTTTGGAATCTAGAAGGATCACACAGTTAATCCTGAGAATGGACAAGGGGGAGGATATGGGAGGGAACTGGGAATGTCAGGCTACTAGACTAGAAAAAGACGCTGCAGTTTTTCGTTTTTTACAATTCACTTTCCTTTAAAAATACATGTCAGAGACTATCTTTTTGTTGGTTTTTTCTTCTATTTTTATTGAGCTCTACATTTTTTCTCTGCTCCCCTCCCTGCCTCCCCTTCAACCCTTCCATGGTCCCCATGCTCCCAATTTACTCAGAACTTGTCTTTTTCTACTTTCCATGTAGATTAGATCCATGTATGTCTCTCTTAGATTCCTCATTGTTATCTATTGGGACTGTGATTTGTAGGCTGATTTTCTTTGCTTTACGTTTAAAAACCACTTATGTGTGAGTACATATAACTGTCTTTCTGGGTTACCTCACTCAGAATGATGTTTCCTAGCTCCATCCATTTGCCTGCAAATCTCAAGATGACACTGCAGTTTCTCATCCACTCCAGGGAAATCAAGGCCCAACCGACGTCAAAGCTAGATCATGAGCTCGGCTCCAGAAGCAAGTTTTCTGGAGCCAGTGCTTCATGCTCTCAGAACTGCTTTGCTCCAGTACACTGGTCCTGCCGGGCTCCCAGGAGAGTGACCTTGAACAATATTCCAAACTAAATTAATTGGAAGGTGCGTGGTTATGTCTTATATGAACAGGGGGAGTAGGACCAAAGTCTCTTTCTAAAAGTTTTGTATGACTCAGTACGTAGATTAGGAATGCCCTGAATTGATCACTGTTTAAAGAGCTGACTAGGGGTTCCAACTTGGATTTAATCACCTTTGATGTTTTTAGAAAATAAAACTGGTGTGAGTCACCAAGACTGGTCTATTAACTCTTAGTCTGCAGGACCATCCTAGTACCGAGTAGGCTAGTTCCCTGTAGGAGCCAAGCATTCAAATGCTCTTTCCTGGTCCAGCTGCCAGCCCTTATGTCCAAATGAAAGACCAGCCCTCTCCAATTAAGACATGACCAGATCTTCAGCACAGGCTCCAGCTTTAGAAGTAACTCAAGCCATAAAAGCTATTTGAGGGTTCTTCTTGACTTATATCAGCAATTCAGTTAATTCACTGAAGAAATACACAAATTATGAATATTAATTTTATTACAAATTTATTCAACAGTTTAAACACGTGAACAAATTAATAACACTAGGTTTATACTAAGGCACAAACCAAATGCATGAGTTGGAAAGTCAAATTTACGGAAGTTTTCCTATACAGAAAAATGCCATCCCACCCCTCTGAAATACTGTAACTGAAACATTTCATACAGTACTCGCAGTTTAAATCTTCCTATGTAAAACTGTACTGCAGTATTATGGGATGAGCAAAGACCCTCTCAGGGTTGGCCCAAGACATTAACAAAAGACACAAAACCAAAAAACAAAACATAAAAGTTATCGAGCATAAATGGTCTACTGACAGACAGAATGGCAACCAAGAAGTGTACCTTAACCATGGTACTCCACCAAGACACGGGAGGATGAGCACTTCACGATAAACAGCCTGCTCCAACACTTACTTTGTGAACGTGTGGGCTGATTTTGCCAAGTAACAGTTATACTGATTTTATCAAACAAATCATCGTTGTAAACAGGGAAGACTGTCTAACAATGAAAATATTTAAATACTCTGGTCTCACTGTTCAGGTCAACAACAGCTTTAAAGAAACTTAAAAACACAGTCACCAAACAACTGATTTACAGAATTGGAATTCTTCCTGAAATCAGGGTATTGTCTGATATGTAGTTATGTATACATTTCTTTATAGCAGAGATGGTGTAGACTAATTAACCAAAGAGATCAAAATAAGTTACCCAAACTACTAATTGGTCAATTATATGTCATTGTTCCTTTAAAAAACTCTTTAAGTTTATATAGGAAGTTAATTATTCTTAGGTCATATCTAAACAACAAAGGATTCCAACACTTTGGGGCGAAGTCCATCCCTGAGCTGTGAGACAGAACAGTATCTAACAGGCAGAGGCAGCAGCCCTTTAACAACCTCTGTCCATTTTAACCGCAGCAGTGTGTGCAGTCCTGGAGCGTTCCTGCCACCGATGAGCTCCCCTTTGTACTGAAACTACAAGTGCAATATTGAGAAAAATCAGGTAAATAGAAACTGGTTTTATTGTTAACTTTACATTTTTGTCAACTGCAGGATGAGCCTGCTAAAACATGGCTATTCCAGTCACAATGGAAATAGTAACTTCTGGGCGTCTCTTCTGAGTCTCTGGTTTCCCAATGACGTTCAGCCAAATAACAAAAGCAATACAATAGTAATTGAGTTTACTATTATCAATGGCACTGCAAGGAAAAAAAAAAGTTTGTTACTATAAAAAGAAAACAACAAAAAATAGAAAAAAGCTAAACAGTAGCAAGTAGCTTCCAAGGAGGATGAAGTATATAAAAACTACGCCATCATAATCATAATGTAATAGTAATAATAGAAAAATTCACTATCATAAAGCTTATGCTATTTTCCTCTGTACTCTAGACTGGCCTGGAACTCACAAAACTTCCTTTCCCTGCCTCCCAAGGGACAGGATTACAGGTGTGGATGGTGCTGGCGCAGCTCTGGGAATACAGGGGACCAGGCAGATCCACATGGCTGCACACTTGAGCAGAAATACAGTGCAAAGAAGGTTCTGTGGTTTCATTAAAAAGAATAAACTCACGAACAATGCATCCCAAGTTATGATTAAGACATGAAAAGTCTCTAATCTCAATGTTTAAATACAAGGTGCCTGCACTCTTTGACTGAATTGCTCCACAATATTTTCCAATACAATGCCAGATACAGAACCTTTCTACATTGCAGCGTGGAAGTCACTAGTAACAGGCCATCTCCTAGAAATCAGATGCAATGGAAGAGACCAGCAACCTTCAAGCAGTAAATCCAGGTTAAAGAAGAAAGAGTTCCCACTACAAATGAGAACCCAATAGTTCTCACTCTCAAAGTTTTGCTACTTAAATTGTAACACACAATTGTAACCTAAAGGTTTCTTCTTACCTCTCATCACAGTTCGTACAGATCGAATCAGGTTCATGAGTTGAGATTTAATTCCTGGCTCCTCTCCGAATCCACCAATTCCCTGGTCTGTTCCCCAGCCAACTGTACAAGAGGAAGATTAGTTGAGTTAAATGTATTACGTGCTGTCTTAGTTCCTCATTATTATCTCTTAAAAGATTAGTTTGAGTCCTGTAAAGACAAAGTATAAAGTCATACATTTTAGAGTAAGATATTGAGTTCAATAGTTTTTTCCCCTCTTTTGATAGTGGCAACAATCATATTCTCTTCTTTCCACTTTGAGTTTGTAAAATAATCTACAGTCCAAACAATCCCATGGTGTTCAAGTCACCGAGAACGGCTACTGTTAAAACTTGCTTATTTTTTTCTTTAAAATGATCAAAGGACCCTTTCTCAGCGTAGAACTGAAAATATGCTAGGGCAAATAATTACTAACACAATTAAAAAGTTATATCATCTAATAAAGTATCAACAGGAAAACACAGTAGCCAGGAATCACGTGGGAAATTTTAACATGTGGTCTGGGCACGCCTTTGGAGCACATAGTTTCCCATTCTCCTTGATCGTTCTTCATTTTTGCATTCTGAGCCATTCTCTGTAAATGAGTCTTTCACCTCCTCCGTCATTTCACCCTTTATCTACCAGTTCTCTTTTTGTTCCTTTCTTCTAAAGACCTGTCCTCATTTCAGTGATTCGTCCTTCTCTTGTCCTCATTTCAGGTCCACTTTACTCTCACACGACTACAGAGTTAATTAATTCCCGGCATGCTAACCTCTAAATGGAAAGTTGAAGAACAAGTCTATCGTATACACTAGAGAGACCAAGCGTCAGGAAACTCACACCTCATCAGCTCTTATTGGGTTGACATAACAGTTAAATAATGGCTGTCTGCATTTTTGCCCTGTTGCGGCATGAAACCAATCTCAAATTCAACTTCACAAAGAAGTTGATTCCCCCACCCCCAACACACACACAAAGGCTGGCTGAGGGTCTGCTTCTGGCCCTTCAGCTCTCAAGGGCGTCAGTGGTTTTGCTTTCACAGTGCGCTCCATCACAGTTGTTAGTACCACACTCTCAGGATCTCACTGTTTCAATTCCTTTACATTTTCTTTAAGCTCAGAACTCAGTGACAAGGTCAGGGAAAGCACCCAGACTTTCACCAGCAAGCATGCTAATAGCTGAGACATTTTCTTAGATGTATGGCTGCTTGAGAAATTTCCTATTTCTAGTTTGATAAACATTACTTTTCATTTTGTGTGCATGTGTATGTGCATGTGTGTGTGCATGTGCATGTGCATGTGCGTGTGCATGTGTATGTGCATGTGTATATAGGCTAGAGGTTAAAGTTTGGCGTCCCCCTAAACACCACCCACCTTATTTGTCTTTGAGACAGATTCTCTCAATGAACCTGTAGTTTGCAGATTGCACTAGAGTAACTGTCCAGCAAGCCCCGGTGACCATCCAATCTCTGCTTCCCCAGAATGTGATTATGGGCACAAGCCACACCTGGCATTCATGTCCATGCTGGGGATCAAATCCTTCTCTTCCTTTTGTAGCAAACACTATGAGTCATTCCCAGACTCCTTGACGAACACCATTTAACAGAGGACTGACTTTTTGAATGTCTTTCCTCTGCTGATTGTGTTGGTCATGTGATTTCTGTTGTTACTATGATAAAATGTTGAACGGATCCTACAATTCTGGACCTAGGACATTAGCCTAGAGAGACCTGCAGGCACCAGGCTTTTAGAAAACACTAGCATTTTCCTTTGTTAGTCAACAATCACAGACCCTCAGTAATTTTTTTTATCAGCCTGGGATGTCTCCAGGCCTGAATTCCAGCAGACCTGATACCCCTTCCCTCCCGCCCTTGTCCGTTTGCTATATAACAGCCTCTGAGAATATAATAAACCGGGCGGCTTGATCAGAAACACTGTTTTGCCGTCATTTCTCGTGTCTCTTGCTCTTCCATTCCTCTCCCCTAGGTTTATCAGGGACCACCGTTCGCATCCAGCTGGCCGGGATAACTTAGCTTTCCAGACATATTCCATTGTGGTAACATCCATTTTTTCAAAAACTGTTGGTTTTTAAAAGCAGGGTTTCTCTATGTAGCTCTAGCTGTCCTGGAACTCACTCTGTAGACTGGGCTGGCCTCGAACTCAGAGATCTACCTGCCTCTGCCTCCTGAGTGCTGGGATTAAAGGAATGTGCCACCACCACTCAGCTCAAAAACTGTCATTTTAATGAAACTCCACTGTGTCCACATTTTCTGTTTTGATCCATTAAGCTTTCCTGAAGCTGTTCTGCATCACTTAAACATTACGTACTATAGGAGATTTGTAGCTCTGAGTATCAATTCTGTATTTTCTTTCTAGTACTTTATTTTTAATGTGCCCTTGTGTAGTCTGTGCCGTGCCCGCAGATGTCAGAAGAGGATGTCGGATCCCCTGGAACTGGAGTTACAGATAGTTCTGAGCCATCATGTGGGTGCTGAGAACAGTATCTGGGTCCTCTGTAAAAGCAACAAGTACTCTTAACCACTCAGTCATGTCTCCAGCCCTTTCCTCTAGTAACTCTGTCTCCTCAAAAGGCTTTATTTATCATTTATACTTAACACATTCAATTCCAACCTCTTCCCTGGCTCATTTCTACTATCTCCGATCCACCAGCTACTCTATATCTATTTGCACACCCCACACACATCTCGAAGCGAGCAGGTCCAGACTTATTTCATCACTGTCTCACCTCTGGACCTACCGCCATCATCCAGTTTCCCTCTGAATTTCTTACACCATAAAGATATTTCACTCAGTGGCTTAAGACAGGAAGCTAGAACAAATTTTTGGCTTCATCTTTTTCTCCCTCATCACTAGTATCTGATATGGTCTTTGTGTGTGTGGCTGGGAGCAGCAGGGACTGAACCCAGGGCTTATGCACAGGAGGCAAGGACTCTACCAATGAGCTGTATGCCCAGCCATCTTTTTACTTCCTAAGACAGGGTCTCACTAAGCTGCCCAGTGGCCTTAAACTCACTTTGTAGCTCTGTCTGGCCTTAAAGTTGCAAGCCTCCCCAACAATACATTCTGCCTTGTTTTCTAGTCTGTGCTAGTCTCCCGGGGCTGCCTTAATAAGGGACCACAGATAATGCTTAACACAATAGAGATCACTTTCTGAGTTTTGGAGGCCAAGTCCAAAATCCAGCAGAACTGGTTCCCTCTGGAAACTCTGAGGGATAATCTCATCCAGGCCTTCTCTAACATCTATCTGGTAGTTGCTGGAATTCCAGGGTTCCATGGCTTGAAACCAAGCCACTCCAATCTCTGCCTCTGTGACCACTTCTTTAAGTGTGTATCTGTATGCTTCTGTATCTCGCTCTCCTTATAAGGATATCGATGACTAGATCTAAGGCCTAACACCTAATCCACATATGAAGAGCTCAATTTGATTACAAATTTTCAAAGATGTGTTTCCAGATAAGGTCACAGCCACAGGTGCCACGGAGTCAGAACACAATCCAACGCGTCACACGATCAGGAAGAGCTCTCTGTGTAGTCCAGTGGTAAAGAAATGGACTCTGGAGTCTGTGCTTAACTGTGTCACCTTCTTCTACCCATGTGACCCTAGAAGTCACCAGTTCACTTTCTGCTTTAGATACCCTACCTGAAGGCTGGAATAAAAACTCTAACTGCATCACCGAGCTGCAGTAAGCTCTCTTGCACGCGCTCTCTCTCTCTTACACACCTACACACACACACACGTAAAACACCTAACACAAATCCTGCACACAACTACACGATTACTGGTTACACCAGTATTAAGGCTGTACTCATCTACCTGCCATCAGTGAGAAGGCCCTTTCCAAATCCACTCCTTTCCCTTCCCACCCCTTCTCCACGCTGCATCTAAGAGAACTCAGTAACATAAACCTGGCCATGGCATGTTCTTAGTTACAACTATTTCCACCTACTTTGGTTTTCCTACCAAAGTAACAGTATTCAAGGCTTCAGCCTCCAAAGTGGCCCCAATCTTTTCTTTCACCTAGTTACTATTTACTCATTTACCAGACTTCGGGTCAGACATATCTTTTCTCAGGCCCTTTTTCAGATTCTCAGGCTAAGATGACCCTACATCTTTCTAATATTTGGCACATCTGTTAATCATTTTAAATTAGATTAAACTTCATCTTAAGGGCAGGTGATTGGTGTAACCTGCTTCTGTTAGAGAGGCCTGGCACATATTCGTGTTCATCTCTTCCGGAGTAATAAATGAAATGCATCATTCTTGCCTGTGGCTTTGAGTTTCAATGATTCCAAGGACACAGTTGGTATATTGAAACAAATGTCTAACATCACGTAGTCCTGTCTGTTTTGTCCTATACAGCAAGAGGCAGCTGGACCAGTCTGGCAAGAAGATCTAATTGTGAGGACGAAGAAGCCATAACGCGTGCGTGTCTTCATTTGTATTCCTCGATTAGAGCACGGTCGTTGGCACATGGTATACACCCAATGGGCGTGTTTACTGAACGCCGTGCACCTGGAACAAGGGTGGCTGGAGCCCTTGCTAACTCCTTTCACCATCAACCCTACCTCCCACCAACGTCTACTGCCCCCATCAGGCTCCCCATCAGTCATTCCAACGACGAGCACGCTGAAAGCGCCTCCACTCCCAGCTCTGAACTCAAAACTCCTCTGCCAGCTTTCCTCTATAAAATCGGTAACAACACCAACAAAAATGCAAGGATTTGTCTGAGCGAAACACGCGGGGGGAAACGAGTCGGGGCTCCTCCGCCGCCGGCCCCAGGCCCCATACACCTACCCCGGCTCGCCGCGCGGGGACGCCCCTCTCCCAGACGCCCCGCCAAGTCCTAGCCCCACCCCGCCCCGGCACTCACTGTTCTTGAGGAAGCGCTCCTCGTGCAGCACGGCGATAGCGTTCACGCACAGCAGGGCCGCCTGCAGCAGGGAATATAGCGTGAAGGCCATGGCCTCACCAAGCAGCTCCCTGGCCTATTGACTCCTTCCCAGACACCGCCCGGGACGTGGCGCCACCACCGCGCCCGGCTACGGGAGCCCGCGCGGCCCAAACCGCGCTCTCCGAGGAGCTCCGCCCCCTCTGACTGAGCCCCGCCTCCTTTGGCTGAGCCCCGCCCCATGCCGCGTCCGCGACAGAGTACCGCATCCTGGGGTGAGCCACAGGAGTCTGGAACACTTGATACGGTAATCATTCTTCACAGACAGGGGCTGAGAAAACAGATGTAGAGTATCACGCAATTTAAGTGTTCTTTATATAGTTAAAATAATAGGAACATATTTGAAGCAGATTTTTCTAGCAATTTTTCTGCCTACTTTTGCTTTTTTGTTTGCTGTGTCTGTGAACCACGCGTGAGGCTTGTGTTGTGCATCTCTTGAGCCCAGCTGCCCTAAGAATGTTCCTAAGAATTATGTGAAAAGTTTGTGTTCAGATTTTATTCCTGAAAAAATGGAGACTGTCAAAATGTTTAAAATTATTGACATTATTCACAGAGAAGCGTTCAAACTTGATCAAACTCTAGTCAGAAAATAAATAATACAGAAGGCGAAAGGGAGCTCTTTCACCCACGGCCACATGAAAAGACTTGTATATATTAACATCCCTAACTGTTCATGGCTGCAGCCCTAGGATGGTGACCGAGTCCTCCTTGATGAGTATATCCAGGGTTTTGTTGTACGAAAACAAAATTAACTGAAACAGGAAGTGATGGACCATGGGTGGGCGGACTGAAAGCTGAATCCGAGCTGTCCAGAGTAGTGCTGCCCTACCGTAAAAACTAGGCTCTTTCCTCTGGGCTTCTGCCACTTTCCTTTATAAAATTAGGTGATGGTCATCTCTGAGACCCTTTCCACTTTAAAAATCTAGCAAAAGCAACTTGGAAGGTAGTATACACGTTCTGCTGCTGTGTTATTTGATTTATTATTTCTCAAAATTCCAGGTTTGTAGCCTAAACTGCTAACAGCAGATTATATCCTGTAAAAGAACCGTTGCACTGGGCGATGGCGGCGCACGCCTTTAATCCCAGAAATCAGGAGGCAGAGGCAGGGGGATCTTGTATACAGAGAGGTCAGAGCAGCCAGAGCTACACAGAGAAACCCTGTCTCGAGAAACAAACAACAAAGACAATTGTTGCTTTATTTTCAAAGAAATTCAAAATCCTAGAAATTGTATCACACACACACACACACACACACACACACACGTATGTATAAAGTAGATATTTCAGTTTATTTACTTATTTAGGGACAGGGCCTCACTGTCTACCAGTAGCTGGGCTGGCATTCTCTGTGTAGACCAGGCTGGTCTAGAACCCACAGAAATCTACCTGCTTCTGCCTTCTTCGTGCTGACTTCAAAGGCTTACGCCACCATACCCAGCTCAAGTTGTTACAATTTATAAAGCTCTGCAAGGAGCTTTATAACTTTTGTTGGTGCAAGTCTTTAATCTCAGCCCTTGGGCAGAGGCAGGCAGGTCTCTGAGTTCGAGGCCAGCCTGGTCTACAGAGTAGTTCTAGGACAGCCAGGGCCACACTGAGAAACCCTGTCTCAAAAATAACAAAATAAATAAATAAACAACAAATAACTAAAAGTCTCTCAAAGAACAACAGAAAAGAAACTAAAAGAATGTTTTTGTTTTTGTTTTTTATTCTTGAGGGCTGAGAGTTTTAAACTGATTGTGGTCTGGTGCTGTACTTCGGATGGACGTTTGAGAGGTTTTATGGACTCACGCTCACCACCCTATCAGATGTTCCTGCTGGAGGTGAAACTGTCTTTACAAAGTCAGACAGTGATGACTTTCCATTTCCTTCAGGGTGTTTCGTTTGTTTGGGGTTTTCTCTCTGGGCAAAGAGACAATAGTATGATAACAGTTTGTTATCATATGACATCTTACTATAATAACTTTATATAGTATATACTATATATGCTATATAACTTATAACTACTGATTTGGAGTCAGTGTTTTTATTTGCTTCTTAAGAATCAAGGAATTAGGGCCTTCAATAATCAGTTAGTTTCTTCCTGCAAGAGAAAACAAGAGTGTGTAAGGATAGGGCTGGAGAGATAGCTCAGTGGTTAAGAACATTTAACTATTCCTGCAAAGGACCGGTTTTGGTTCAGATCACACCCAAGGCCACTAGCGTCTATAACTCCAGTTCCAAAGGATCCAGCACCCTCTTCTGGCCGATTCTGGAACTGCACATATGCGTCGCACCAATATCCATGCAGGCAAAACTACCCATACACACAAAATAAAAATAAGCGAATCTTTGAAAAATTGAGTATGTATGAGTAAATTCCACAGCTGAAAGGAAAATTCTAGGACTGTTCCTGGGTCTCTCTTTCACTTTTACATCCTGCATACAATCCAGCAGTAGATCCGGTTATCTTTTACTTTAATAAACACTGTGGTTTGAATGTTCTTTCCAAAATGTATGCTGAAATTTAATCAGCATTGTAGTGCAAAGGGTGCGTATGTGTGTGTGTGATGTGTATATGTGGTGTGTGTGATATATATATATATATGTGGTGTGTGTGTGATATGTATATGTGGTGTGTGTGTGTGAGAGAGAGAGAGAGATGTGTATATGTGGCGTGTGTACATGAGTTTGCAGGTACAGATGCCCATGCTTATGGTGCTAAACCCAGAGGAGGAGACTGAATGTCTTCCTATCATTCCTTGACTCATTCCCTTGATGCAGACTCTTGCTGAACCTGAAGCTCAGCTAGGCTGGCCAGCCAGAGAGCTCCCAGATCCATTTGTCTCCGCCTCCAGCGCTGAGGTTGCAGGCACAGGCAGCCATGCCCAGCTTTTATGTGGGTACCAAGGGTGAAAATGCTGGTCCTCATGTTTGGACAGCAAGTCCTCTTGCCTGCTGAGCACAAACCCATCTGTGGTGGGATATTCTTTTAATTGGGCAAAGATGTGTTACATTTGTTTATGCTGAGGACTATTACTTTAACTGTGTAAAGGTGTGTTACATTCATTTCTGCTGCCTTTGTTAAGGAGGTAAAGATGTGTTACATTTGTTTCTGCTGCATTTGTTTGATTATGAAGAGATGTGTTACTGTTTCACCCTGCCTCCCTAAGGCACCTGATTGGCCTAATAAAAAAAAGCTCAATGTTCAATACCTAGGCAGAAGAGGGATAAACAGACCTGACAGGCAGAGAGAATGAGAAGGAGGAGACATCTGAGAAGAATGAGAGGAAGAAGAAGAGAAGAGAATGAGGGAGAAAAAGAGGGACATGCCCGGGGTCAGCCAAGCAGCCACCAACCAGTGGGTACAGAGTAGGACATACAGAAAGAAGGGTGAAAAATCCCTAAGGCAAAACATAGATGAAGAGAACAGGTTAATTTAAGCTACAGGAAAAAAAAAAGTGCTAACCAGAAACGAGCATAAGCTGGGGCCGAGCATTCACATCTAATAAGTCTCTGTATCAGATTCAGGAGCTGGCTGGTGGCCCCAAAGAGAAAGCCTGGTGTGTCCATCTGTGGTGGTTTGACTGAGAATGGCCATCAAAGCCATATTTGGACACTTGGTCCGCAGTTGGTGGAACTGTTTGGGAAGGATTAAGAGGCCTGGCCTTATTGGAGAAGATATGTCACTGGAGGTGGCCTTTGAGGTTTTAAAAGCCGATGCCCTTCCCAGCCACCTCTCTCAGGCTCAGGCGTGTGGATCAGATGGGTGCTCTCAGTCACTGCTTCAGCACCAAGGCTGAAGCTGTGCCGCCAATGCTCCCTGCCATGACAGACTCGCCCTCTGGACACTCAGCCTCCATCAAGTGTTTCCTTCCACCAGTGTCATTGCAGTGGAAAAGCAGCTGAGACCCCAGCACTCTAAGCCAAGACTTTAGGGTGAAAATCCAGACCCTGGCAGCTGCAACAACTTAGGCCTGGCTAATGGTCCCCTGTGCGCCAATTACGAACACCAGAGTAGAGAGCCAGGAAACTTAGTTAGTGGGATTACATTCAGAAGAGGAGCAACTGTGCATAACTAAGCAGTCCTGCTCAAGATGTGGCCCCACCCATCGCTGGCCCAATGGTTACGGTCTCTCTGGGCCATGCTGCAAGCTGGCCTGATAAACTGCTCAGAATGGTGTGAAATCTCTTTTTGTCTGACAAGTTCCTCTCCAGGGTAGCACCAGGGCTTCTTTCGCTTCCTTATTTTAGTTCTTTGAACTTCACTGTTTCAATCATCTGAGAGTCAGAGGAAGGCCATGTGTGTCTTTGTAGAACATATCCTTTTCTTTCAGCATGGGTACAGGGCCATTGAGAAGCAATTCAGTCACGAGGACTCTGCTTGGGACTAGGTTAATGCTGATATTTCAAAAGCCAGTTCATTGTAAAAGGGTAAATTCATGTCTCTTTGCCTATCTACCATGACACAGCAAAATTTCCTCACCAATTGCTAGCTCTTTAATCTTGGGCTCTCTGGCCCCCAGAAACGTGAGCCAATCTGTTTCTCCTCATAAAGGGCAGAGTGTGGGGTATTCTAACTGCTCCACCTTCTCATCAACTGCAGTCTTGGTTTGAGCTCCCATGGCCTCTTGTGGACCCTGTGAGGTTGCTCTCCAAGCAAGCTCCTGTGTCCTGGGAAGGTCCTCCCCTCTCTCCATTGATTCTTCCGAGAGCATCCTAAGTACTTCTCAGGAAATCAAACAATGAAAACAAGTTCTTTGTGGGGAGAGTTTGGGTCGTCTGTCCCATAGAACTCCCCTCAGTTTTGTATTCCCACAGTCTTGTCTGAGCCAAATCACAGGAGAAAAATTAAAATGCTAACTGAAGAAAACAGTCATTGTATTTATGCTGCCTAAAACCTTCCCCTGGCAATGAAAACAATGAGGTTATGGTATTTTTTTTTCTCCCTCAGTTAGATCTTAGAAGAATTTTTCCATAAACTTTTTGACTTGGCCCTTTCTCTTTCTGGTTTTGCATCTCAGCATCTCTATTCCTGTAGTCATTAAAAAATGGCCCATGGAGAGACATATTATGTGTTATTTATTAAAAATTTAGACTCAGTGTGAAGTCTGACAAAATGGATTATTCTT